CCACCAAACTAGTGCGCTTCTTATTGACACATCCAAGTTAAATGAACGTAAAATAAAGCTTTAAAATATTTAATTCAATACATGCCATTTGGATCTTTAAAATTCGTCACATGATCAACTTCATCTTCACTAGTAATCTTCAACTTAACAAAAGAAACTATAATAGCTTGTGTACCAATAAAGATAACTTTGTTGAACCGCAGAAAAATGACTACTATTATGTCCTTGTATGAAAGATCTTGAGCATAGCTCTCTGTATCACTAATCTTATTAAATTTCACCATGGTTTCGTGATCATCTAAATGCTAACCAACCAGCATAGTCCTTTGTCTTCGATAGTAGGATAAAAGAAATTTTAAAAGAAAACACAAAACAAATGAAAGATTCATCCGCAAAGCAAAGTGCCACAACTTCCTCTATTTCATTCAGATCACAGGGCCTTGTTCTCCAAGGTGGTGAAGGAGAAATTACCAGACAATATGGACTCTTTATCTGTACATCACAAAAACAGAACATTATAGAAAGGTTTGTCTATTTTAACTGCAAGCGCGAGCAACAGAATTAGGTATTCCATACTAAAACTAAAATTATTTGAATGTTGCAACTGATAAAGCATTATAAGATTAAGGAGGTTAGTATGTGCACCTGTTAAAGATAGAGAACTAACTTCTCTCCGGACATATCTTGCCATTGCCTAAAAATCACAAACGATGTCTCAAACAGTTTAGTACACAAAGCCTAAATTTGTACGTCTGTGTGTGTGTTTGCGAGAGAAGATAGAGAGGGGGAAATTCATGCCTTTGCTGCTTTTAAATCCGTGTCATCAGGTGTTGTTGTTCCATCATCTGAAAATACATTCCTACAATCCAAATTCTTTTTAAGGTTCTGAGACAAATCCATTATCTATGACTGCCATAGCCATAATGAATTTACATTCAATCCAAGCTATTGTTGTTCGTGTGATATCTACCGAATTTGATGCATAAAGCACGACATTGTAGAAGCTTTACCTCCATATTTTGATTTGTAGCTCATTTGGTTTAGCTTCTGGAAGTAGCGCAGCATCATAGGCAACAACATTTCCATAAAATATTTTCTCTAATTCCTTCATCCACTTAAGCAGCAGCAAGTTAACCTGCATTTTCGATAAATATCAAGACCATCTTATTTGAAGGGAAACTAAGAGAGTAAGATTTATCTTGTAAACTACAGTAAAGCAGAATCAATTCTAGCACATACCCCAGCTTTAGATACCCTGACTTCTACATCATGATTGTAGATCTCATACACATATTGACCAAGGTCAACACCTTCTTTTCCCTCTTCGTTCAAGCGACGCAAAACAAGCCACATATGAAGGACAAGCAATGAAAATGTTATTTTGAACGTTTTCTCCAAGTTGAATACTGCAGCAGAGACAAAACACCAGGTCTATAAACGAAGCACAAAAAGTAAATACAATTCTTGAATGCTCTATTGTGTTGGAAACCAAATAAAATACCATCATATATTGCAGGTTTCTCGACTTGTGAAATGATTCGCTTGTATATCACATTTGCCCTACGGATAGATATGCTCTGCTTGCTGTAGAACAAAAGCACCTTTAGTATAAAACGACGAACCCCTTCATAGTTTGGTTCATCAATTCTGAGAGGAGAGTCTTTAGGCAGAGCCAATGAACATGGCTTTGACCAAAACAGCTTATCCAAGTTTACCTGTCAAACACAGAACATATACTTTTAGTTAAACACAGAACACACGATCTCCAGAAACAGTTGAAGAAAGAGCACGAATCTAACCAAAACACAAAATGAATTAAGTATATACTAAGGGAAACTCCAACACAAGAAGGGATGAATCCAAGTCCACGCTCGTTGTAAACGCTTACAAGCAAAGTCCAAATAGATGCAACAAAACTACAACATGGTAAAGACAATGGGGAAGCAGAAGTCGCTTTTGTCCTTCTAAACTAAATACAATGGACATTATTATAAACAGCCCTCTTTGAGCTTAGCTTTGAATCCTATAATGCGACCTGAACATCACTACAATTAAACACTCAACGTTTGGTATTTTCAGAGTTTGTAGTACTAGCCGATCATAGACTTCAACGAACCCAGTAGTAACTAGATAGTTCTGAATACGACGAGATCTAAAGTGGGTAAATAAAAATGGCAGGACTTGGATCATACCGGAGATTTGCTGGGGAAATCTTTCAGCGGCGGAGCATCAGGCGCCGGTGCTACAGTCGCGTACCCATAGTGCGATAAAAAGGAAAGATTTTTCATCGATCCATTTGTGGTCAAAGATCGAAGCTTTGAGGTTTGAGTAACAAGTCGACCTAATCTAGGCAACATTTGACAAGGCCCTTTTGTTCTCTTACTGAATCGACCAAGGAATTAGAGAAGTAATTGAATTCGTTCGATCGAATCCTAAAACCCTGGGGAAAAACCTGCGAAATCGTA